GATGGGGTGGGGCCACATTGGTAACAAAGAAACAGAATTTCCGGAGGATGGGGCCCAGAAATCAGGATTTTAAAAAGATTCCCAGGTGATTCTAATGTGCAGCCAAGGTTGAGAACCACTGGTCTAGTGCAATTCATCTGCACTTTCCGACACCAGTACCCAGGGCAGGGAGTCTGTCCCTCTAAGGGTGCTTATCTATCCATTCACCCACCCACTCAGTCTCCCACTTGCCTCTTCACCCACCCATTCACTCACCCACTCATTCAGCCACTCACACATCCTTCCACCCAGTCTGTCCATTACCTACCTACCTTCCCACCCACCATTCATCCATCCACCATTCTTCCATCCACCCATTCATCCACACGTCCATCCATCCATTCATCTCTCCATCCATCCATCCATCCATCCATCCGTCCATCTCTCCATCCATCCATCCATCCATCCATCCATCCATCCATGCATCCATTCATCTGTCCATCTATCCATCCATCTTTCCACCAATTCTTCCATCCATCCATCCACCCATTTATCCGACATATATCCTAAATCATGTCCTGTTGACTATTCCTCCAAAATACCTTTGAAACCACCCACTTCTGACCATTTTCAACTGTGCCACCCAAGTCCAGGGCACCCTTTCTTCTCTTCAGGGCAACTGCTCTCACTTCTCAGCTATTTTTCACCCAACAGATTATGCCATGTCATGGCTTAAAACCTTGCTGCTTGAGGGGTTTCTTATTGCTCTTAATAAGAGACAGACCCAATCGTTTTTGTAATGTACCCAGGGAAACATACAGCTTGATGAATGTCTCCGTGTGTATACCCCTGTGACCACACCCAGATGAAGACACAGAACATTTCCGGTTCTCAGCGTCCTTCAGAGTCAGCACTCACCCCCAGGAGTCATCAGCACTTGGACTTCTATGCCATTGATTAGTTTTGTCTGTTCCTGAACTCCCTGGATAGATGCTTAGGAGCGGAATTGCTGGGACACTGAATGGGCTTAAGATTCAAATTCTTCTCATAGTCTCTACCATCCAGCATGTCCAACATGTCCACCCCATCTCAGGCCACTCTCTGCTCTGCCCTCCATCCTCCAGCCACACCAGACACACTGTCCTCAGAGGTCTCCCTTGTATGTGCTGTTCCCTCTGCTGGATCCCCCCTCCCCCGTTTACATATCAATTCCCAGGATACTTCCTCAAGGACGGAGGTCAGGTTCCCCATCACTGGTGTGCTCCCCACGCATTCAGGTCTTTTCCCCTGGGATACTTACCACGGTTTGCCGTAACATATTCACTCAAGTGCTTGAGTTTGCTTATACCCCCACCCCATTCCCAGACCAGAAGCTCCGTGTGGGCGGGGACTGGGTCCCCGTTGTGTCCTCAGTACTTAGCCCTCCTGCCGGGCCCACTGTAGGCCCACACACTCAATGTCACACCGGCTCTTTCTGCTGGGTAGGGAGGGAGGTGCTGTCTGGGTGCAGCGAGGAGGTTGGAGAGGAGGGAGACGGGGAGGGAGACGGGAAGACCGGAGTGAGCAGCACACACCCTGGAGCTCAGCAGGCCCGGGTCCTGCCCCCGGCTTTGGTCTCATTCACCAGCATCTCCAGGACCAGGCGACTCTTGAAAGCTCTTCCTCTGCATCGCCCCGCGGGAGGGAAATGCTGATCTCTGAGAGGGAGAGGCCCTCTTCCCTTCGCAGCCGCTCGATGCCTTTCCAGGGACCTGTGAGTCATGCGCACGGCCCTGGAGACGGCCAGCCTGGCCGAGGAGGGAGGGGTAGTGCGTCCTGAGGTGACAGAGACCCAGGAGGGGTAGTGAGTTGCCTAAGGTGCCGGGACACCTTAGAATCA